TCTTCTGAAAACCAAAACATGGTACTATAATGTTCAAAAAGATCAAGATATGATACGATTATACAGTTTGTATTTTAATATGGTACGGTATACTCCAATAATAACAATACATGGTACTACAATGCTCAAAAAGATCAAAATATGGAACGATAATATAGTTAGTATTAAATTATTGAACGAAATTGCATGAAAATACCAAAACATGATAATACTAAGCTACTAGGATATGAAAGGTATCAAAGTATGGTTTTGAAAATAAAGCTGCTCTGGATGACTAATGGTTGGTGTCGCATGATTGCTGTGAGCTCAGTTGTGCAGTGCAATCTAAGTAAGATCCGTAATAGAATTTTGCGGATTTCAACCAAGAAGCAACCTTCCAAAAGGCCGTCAAGTGAAGGTATTCATTAATTGTTGAAGGCAGGATATCCTAACGTTCTCTCAACTAGTCCGAAAGCAATGATACTTCTTGCCTATCGTCCCAAAGCTATTTCGACCTTATCGTAAAAGTGGTCTATTTTGGTTTTTCTAGTTAGAAATCTCGAAGGGCATGCGAAAAATATGCAATATATATTACCATGCATTCCTCCCAGAGTCTCAGCTTTTTTCTGTCTACAATACACTGATGCACTCAAGCCGGTGCTTGTACTCACGGCGATGATGGTGCTCGATGAGACCTGTATAAAATACAGCGCCTATGGGTCCACCAAGAAGTGGACCGACGATAGGAACTCAAAAGTAGGAGTCGCGAAAGATGATAACTTTCGATCCCCATCCCGCACAATCGACAAACAGACGAAGGTCAAAATCGCGCACGGGATTGACAGCAAAGCCAAAATCATCCTAAACGCCATACCAATGGCCACGACCACTAGAGCCAATGCAGTGAGCTGTGAATACGGGCTAGCAGGTTTGTCAAGCTGGTCACCGATAGCAAAAATGCAACTAATGAGTAATGCTGAGCCTACAACCTCCGTCAGAAAACGTGTGAGGACTGGAACGTCGTCACTGTATGGGTTTTTGCAAATACATCTTCGGTTGACGTCTTCCATGTTGAACATTGATAAATACACTCCCCACACAACAAATGCCGCGGCGAAAGCACCAAGGATTTGCAATATGATGTAAAAAGGAACTTTCTTCCACTCCATACGACCACACCATGCCAGGGTTGTAGTAACTGCTGGATTTAAATGGGCACCCGAGACTCCAACAGCAATGTGGATACCAAAAAACACACCGAGACCCCAGCACAAGATGATGTTGAAATAATTGCCTTTCATGCCCTCCCCCAGCACGACCTGATTTGGCCGACGAGCTTATTGCTGGTCGCACGTGCGTGCGATGTGGGGGCAAGAAGAAAAAAACTCGACTACAATTTACTTTCTTTTTCGTCGTCTGTTTTGGTGGTCATACATAAAGCGAGTAAAGCCTCGTCGTAAGCACATTAACATCTTGAGGCAGCGCAGTATTGCCACCGTCGCAAATTTGTTTGGCTTTCGTACCTCTTGACCATACCATACGTAATCAATAAAAATATTTATGGTGTGGTAGCATGGAATACCATACTACTGTAGGTCTTACTGTTGGTAGCCAAGTATGCTGGAAGTCGAAAATGTCTATCACCCAGGTTGACAAATCTGTGGTAAATATTTTTATGAATTTGTCCCTTTTTTAGATGAGATTTATATAAAAGAGTAGAATGAAGCATGAACAGGTTGGGATATCTTTAGTCTGTAAAGTCTTTTTTGTCACCACACCGAGATATCAGTTCCAGGACGAAAAAGCAAAAGCACATCACTTCCTCACTACCAAAAGAGTGACACTAGACAAAGTCGCGGTCGTTGTAAGCAATAAAGAGATCTACTTCATTACGTCGCTCTGAGTTGGCAAGAGTAACTTCTTCCATTTATCTCAATTTGTTTTGCAATCGTCGAGCAATAGGCTGCTATAGAAATCTTCGCCGAGACTTTTAATGGCTTTATCGCTTCGTCAGCGCCGCTGTCCGAGCACCAGCGCCTCAAAACATTCGTTGGGTGTTGGGACAAATCAACGAAATAGTTGTGAGTCCGAAGATAGTTATAGCTGCTTCATGAATGGCCGTCGATGTATCTCAAGTCGCAAAAGCACTGTCTTCGACAACGATGTCAGCGACGCTCATGTGCCACTTGCCATCAAGTACTTAGAGCAGGTGAGTTTTAAAATGTCTGTGACCAAGAAACACACGGATGTGCGATACCTTATGCGAGTGCGACATCATGACCATAATGTCATCTGGAGCCTTAAGAGATCTTTTGATGAATACCGCAAGTTGCGGCTGCGACTTCTCCGAAAGCTACAACACGGTCATTTTTGCAACGCCAATTGTCCGTGGCTCTATGGTTTCTTGAAAAGCTACTTTCCCAAAAAGCGTGTGTTTATATTCTCGAGCGCTCACATGATCGAGCGTCGCAAAAGAATGCTTGAAAGATTCTTCGCTGTACTTTACGAATTTTTGACTGACCACAAGAACTTTGGGTGCTCGATTATCATGACCGTATTTGCTCACGAAGTCGTCGAGTTTATTTATGGTGACGCATTGCAGCAGCATGGACTGATTCATATTGACAGATCACCTTTCGAGCCTCTAGACAGAACGACCTTGCGATTGAGCGAGAGTTTCAATTTCGAGAACGATGCAGAGGAATCGTCGCAAAACATACGATGTATTCGACGAGATGTAGACCGACAACTAGGCACCCAATTATCATTAACCATGTCACTTGGAGAATCAATGCTAGACGATGACAACTTGGATGATGAACAGTGCAAGATTTGCGGCTTAATGCTCAGCGGAATTGCTGGAGAGGACTTGACGTCAACAACAATTCTTCAAGATGACAGCAAACGGTTTGTACATAGCATGGAATCGCTAGATAGCAATGGACAAGCGAATTTCAAGGTAAATTGTAGGATTAATAGCTCTGGTGGATCTTATCGAAGCAGCAGCGCTAGACGACGACGACGAGCAGTGGTATATTACTTGACGACACTGAGTTGTGGTCATCAATTCCACGATGAATGCATTGTACCGAAGCTCAACGAGTTGTTTGAATGCCCCACATGTGGTTGCAAACCGAGTAACGATTAAAGATCAAGCACCGTATGGGGTATGACAAAACAAAAGCTGAAAGCTGACATATTGTAAGGTATAATTTAGACATAATATGCACCATATCTCTGTGTAGCTATCATTTACCACTGTCATAGTTAACGTGCTGCGTCATTGGCACTAACTCGTAAATTGGTGAGCACTGTTTTAATCTATAGCACGTTGCCGCTTCCAGATTTAATGCCTCGAAAGATGCCATCGTATACTAAACAAACCTCTTAGCATTCGACTGATCCCTCGCAATGCCTGGAATTCGAGTCACAATCACGGTGCTCCTCTAGATAGACTGTTCCTGAAGTGATCAATTTTGTGAGATCTGTCTTGCTCAAAACGTCGGCACATATGTGACGCTTTAAATGTGAGGTCCACAATTAGTTGATCATTTGCAACAAAACTCGTTCGTTTCGGCTACAAGGCTTTATTTTTGCGATTCAAAAAGAATTGCCTTGCGCTATACAACAAGATTTGCCAGTAGCGTTGAGATGTCAACGCTTAAAACGTCGTCGCACCTTATGGAAAGTCGAAGCTCCTTCCGTCAATTGCACCAGCAGCTAGGAGACTTGACATTGTCCGGTCATACAATGGCTGGTGTGATACGAACGAGGAGTGGACACGGAATCCGAAACAATGCTGTCAATTGGAATCTATCCAATCCACGTTTGCATCCTTCGCTACCCTCGCTTCCCCAATGTACAGCAAGCTCAAATCAATTAATGTATGAAGAAGTGCGGAAAGGAGAAGGATTGAGTAGTGCACCACAAGCAGGTGAATGGAATATGCTTTCATCGTCTAAAATGCCTATGAATCAAACCACAACAAATGGTTCAGATGTGATTGAAAATCAGAGACACCAAGAAAATGAAGGATTAGAAATATCACGTCGTTCAAGTGAGAATGTTGGCTTCGAAAATGTACTGAACGGGCTCACTTCAAATCAAGAAGATATTGTGTCGAAGCCAACAAGTTCACGATTAAACTCGAGCTCGTCAACCGTTACCACGACAACTAACAGATTTAACGAAGATGAGGACATCATGAGTAGCGGAAGTTGTGGCGAAACGAACCAACAAGAGGAGACATGTCGTCCTCATCATACACCCATTCGTGGTCAATTCTTTCGATCATGGAAGAAAGATACAAACGACGATGATAGCTACAGTAGCGAAGACTGGTCACTGCCATCTACAAATAAATGGAAAGACCGTGCAATTGTGGACCCGTTTGCCAAGCGGCGAGCAAGAGACAGGAAGATGAAGCCTATTCAAAAGATACCAGACGTTCTTCCTCCCCCCTCTCGAGCTATCGATCAACGCATCGTCCGTTCACCTGTAAAAAGCTCGAAAAAGTTGCTGGAAAGCGCTTCAACTCGATCAGCTTCTCCTTTGAATTCTGCTGAACTTGCTCCACTAAAATCATTACGATTGACGTCTGCAGACCGAAATCGAGCGACCAAACACCTTCGCCCAGTACCACCGTTGTCAAATGTGAGCTCTGCTCGTCCACTTCGTTTGTGCTCGGCGCAAGGGAATTCTCGAGAATCGTTATGTGAAACTAACGACGACACCGCTGAGCTTACTACTACATCACGCCAATCTCGTGGACTTACGAAAACTAGCCAACATCGAACGCAGTCGACAGTAAGTGCGTTGAATGAGATCAAACGCAAACGCGAAGCTCGTCGGGCCCGATATGCAGTAGAGAGGCAGCGCGTAGAGAAGGAAGTGCGTGAGTATGGTGATGACGCAGGATACAAATTTCGCCGACTGATCCAGCAGTATCGCGACGCGCTTTCTCCTACTCAACTTGAACAGCTTTCGCACAAAGAATTGCCTCTTCTAGAGCATCATGGCTCCATGCAGCCACCACCAACTCCAACACTGATGTTAGATTGCGCAGAGACCGCTCGCCTCTCTGTATTTATTCGAAAGCGTCCGCTTGCAAAAAAAGAGTTGAAATCAAAGGGATATGACATCGTCTCGTGCTTATTTGCTTCGGAAGATCTTGAAAGTAAGAGAAATACTAATGCATTGCTTTTGCGACGTGACCTTGTGTGTCACGAACCAAAACTTCGTGTTGACTGCTCTGCTACGCTTGAAAATCATCACTTTCACTTTGACGGGGTTTTTGACGAGTTGCAAGAGAACGTGAGGGTTTATGACGCTACGGTTGGGCCGATGATACCGTATCTTGTATCGAAAGCGACTGCCTCTGGGCCTATAACCAGTCTAACGGTGTTCGCCTACGGTCAAACTGGATCGGGAAAGACGTACACAATGAAATCCATTTACCGACAAGCTGCTTCGGCTTTATTTCAACAAATTGATGCGTTGAATGAGATGTCGAGTTATCGTCAGGCTCACGTATGTGTAGGAATTAGTTTTTATGAAATTTACATGAATAATGTCAATGACTTGTTGAATGGGCGATCACGCGTGCAATTGATGGAGAATGGAGATGGTGCAGTGCAATTACCAGGACTGAAAGAAATACGAGCAAACAATGCAGATGAATTGCTTACCCTCGTGCAGCTAGGTGAACAGGCACGCGCCACAAGTGCGAATGCTGTGCACGATGATTCCTCTCGATCTCATGCATTGCTTCAGGTGACGTTATATGCCGAAGACAACAATGTAGTTGTAGCAAGACTCTATATGGTTGATCTTGCTGGCAGTGAGCGTGCAAGTGATACTCAGAGTGACAAGAAGAATACTCGAATGGAAGGAGCTGAGATCAATAAAAGCTTGTTGGCTTTGAAGGAATGTATTCGTGCTCTGGATCGAGGAGCACTGCACATTCCATTTCGACAGAGCAAACTCACACAACTTCTTCGTGATAGCTTTCTTTCCCAGGACTCGAAAACGATAATGATTGCCACTGTCTCACCTTGTTCTGAAAGTTGCAATCATACACTCAATACGTTGCGGTATGCCGATAGATTGAAAGAAATCGGTGCGGTGAATTGAATTCAATCTCGGTAACAGTGATTGATACACGTGTTATAATCTGCGTTGGAACTGTTTGGAAAAGTACTTGATGATGGTGGTACCTGTGGCAGTAATTGGAATGTCTATCTTGGCTGCAAGAGTATGAATGATTTTCGCTTCTATGTGGAATTCTTTTGATGGGCGGAACTTGCAACAGCAAGGACTATACGCATTTTGGCTAATACCAGGCGACTACCTGACATGTTCATCATTTAATAACATAGCCAAAGAAGTAGATGCACACCGATTCTGGCGTCCATGAGCAACAAAGCTTTTAGAGAGTTAACGTTTGAAAAGACAACTTAAAGTGTCAAGCATTACGAAGGCATGATGCTTTTCCTCGCTATGTTCTTACGAATACAATAGTCATATCAATGCAGTAGTAATTCAAGTAGTGGCTTTCTCTCAGTATTGTAAATTGACAACATGAAGATTCAGATCTCAAAGATTAAATATCAGTTGATCATAGAGAAAGTGTACAACGTAATGGTTCTGAGCTGTTCCCTAAGGTCGTGCTCCCATCAACACAAGAAGTGTCCACAGTATAGGCCAGAGCGCCGCGCCCCAAAGAGCATCAATACCCTGGGCCTAGTTAACGGATCTCAAACTTATAATTAATCAGAGGGAGCACAGTCTGAAGAAATAGTGAAATGACGACAACGTCGCTGAAGTATAATTTTGTGACTGGACCAGCAACGTCGATTTCTTACATATGTTTATTACGTAAAAAGACTTCCTATAATGAAGCATAAGTCGTTCATTCTTCATCTATACACGTAATAATTGGAATAAATCTAGGATCTATACAAATTTCAAGTGAAAAGAATGTTTGCAAAAGAATGACTCGCAGCCGCACGCACTTCCCCACCCACAAAGGTCAAGCGTGTCGTACATCATCATGATCTTCGCCTTCTCCAAAAGCCTCACTGCGCATGGTAGGCGCTCAATGAGCACAATTCGCTACACGGAGTTTGGTCATCCTCTTTCAGTTCTCAAGTATGTTACAATCGCTCCAACTTCTAACCTGGTTAGTGTGCTTACTCCACGTCATATATTGGTAGGACGGAGTCGGACGACAAGGAGACAGCCCCAGCCAAGCATCAAGTGGCACTTAAATTTCTAGCCGCTCCGATCAATATATCCGACCTGTCGCAGATCCAAGGTGCTTATGGTATTAAACCCACCTTCCCGGCCATAGCTGGCAATGAAGGCGTTGCAGTCGTCACGGCTGTTGGTGCTGACGTCAAGAATGTCAAGGTGAACGATCGTGTTATTCCCACAAGTGCTGCATTTGGTTCGTAATAGCAAGTTTAGATTTAACAAAGATAGTAAACATTGAGCTTCTGTACTGTAGGCACATGGCGTAACAAGGCCGTAGCGGATAGTTCGCAGGTGATGAAAATCTCGGATAAAATATCTATCGAAGATGCTGCCACATTGTCCGTGAATCCATCCGCAGCCTACCGCATGTTAGCCGATTTTACGACTTTGAAAAAAGGTGATGTAGTTGTTCAAAATGGCGCCAACAGCGCTGTGGGTCAGGCCGTCATCCAATTGGCCGCTCTGCGTGGCATCAAGACCATCAACATCATACGCGACGACGGCGATTACGAAATTACTGTGGAGCATTTGAAGAATTTAGGCGCTACAATTGTGTGCTCGACCGACTATGTTGGCTCGGCCAAATTTAAAGAGCTCATTTCAGACTTGCCAGCCCCAAAGCTGGCGCTTAATTGTGTGGGTGGCAAGACTAGTCTTGAGATGGCTAGAATTCTCACAAGAAAGGGTGTACACGTTACATATGGCGGCATGAGCAAAGAGGCTGTTGCTGTTGGCACGGGTTCGCTCATCTTTCATGACATTACTTTAAAGGGCTTTTGGCTCAGCGAGTGGGTCAAGGAATCAACTGTCGAAGAACGTGCTGCGATGCTCTCGGAACTTGCTGGTCTCGTAGAGGCGGGCAAGTTACGTACGTGGATTCAAACTTATAAATTTGCAGACTTTGACGACGCTTTGCAAGCTGCTGTGAATCGCACAACGAAGCGCAAGATTGTAATGCTGATGGAGTAATTCAGTCATGTACTTGGATTTCAAACGCCGTACACCAACACCAAATTGATGACTGGATATAACTACTGATACCAGAACGTGTGACGATGACAGGGTTGCTTACAGTTTTATACAACAAGTAGCAGATTTGAACAAGGCAAAATTTGACACGGAAATTCAATCGATCAACCTTTTTATCGTCTAATTCTATCAACTTACATCTATTGGTATAGCAAAGTGTAATAATCATTACCAGCAGTTGCAACGGTCTTCTCTTCCGCCAAAAGTCGAGGCAAATTACGTTGCACTTCTAATACGTCGAATGTCATTTTTCCCTTTGTATAGATTTCTATTGCTTGGCTTAAATGGTTTACCGCTTCATAAGTACCAGACAAATCTCGACCAGGTTTGTACCCCTTGGCCAGCAGTAAGTGGGTTCGTGGCCACTGCTCTACGGAGATGAAGTGCAGAAACGCACTTAGCCATGGATCCTTGAGTTCCCAGGATCGATCGGCTTGCGGCAGCATAGCCACATCCGCTTTCCAATCTTCGCCAACGTTAAGATCACTATAAAACACATTTAATGCATTGTCTTTGGCATACGGCAAGTGCATGGCTGCAATGATCGTAAGCTGCTGAACGTCTGCCTGACTCAGAGCGGAAACCAACGCCTCGGCTAACTCCCAACGTTGCGTTTCATGTACTATAGAAGTGTTGACAACAATAGCCGCTACTTCATTATCTGGCCACTGGTAAATTTGTACAAAGGGGATCAAATCTACAGGTACAAGTTTCTCGACAATGGATTGAGGCAGTGGGGAAGCTTGTGCACCCTTCATTCTCGCAAAACGAAGGACATCTACATGATAAATGAATGAGGGATAAAAAACATTTGCAAATCGTTTAACAGAAGAGAGACGTACGCTTCCCGGCTCTAGACAAGTCGTCCAACGTGAGGAACACATGTGGTGCTAGAATCAGACTTTTCTCCATTTTTAATTTAAATGTGGTCGGTAAACCATAACAATTGTGCTGTTTTAAAGTGCATTTTATAATATTGATACTCGAAAATTAACTCTGTATCGCTTGTCATGAAGTCAAAGGGTAACAAGAGGGATGCACTTGAGGTTACAAGCCAATCTATCTGACGCTTTAGCACTCAGATCATGACTTTGTCTTGATGGAAATGAGGACCATCTATACATCAATGCATCTAAGGGGTACTCAAAAGAGATATTTGCCTTTCAATTTTTTTTATTCAAACGATCTTTTATCAGACGCTTAAAACTGCAATAAATCAACATATCGCACGAGTGACAAATTTTTCTTAACGGCTGTAAGATAATTTCTCAAGCCGAAGCGGGAGGAAGCTGGAGGAAGCTGGAGGAATCGGGATTATATGTCGTTATATCCTACTGATATGGTGTAAGCGAAAATTCTCCAGCTTTTCGCTAAATCGACAAGCTGGGCCTATCCAAGCTTGTAAAGTAAGTGATTATGGACGTGTTGACCTGGTCTAATATTGTGGGTAGTTGGCGCTAG